TCAAACTCATCAGTCACTCCTTGGAAACCCTATACAGGGTCACTATGAGTCAGAACCAACTCAATGGGACTTAACAACAATAAGTTGTTAACTGGACCACAAAGTAGGTTTGAACCACCAAGTCGGCAGTTCAAACTCACCAGCCACTCTTAACAACAATAGTGCTAACTACATTACTACAGGAATCCTGGTAGCATAGTGGATTATGAACTAGGCTGCTAACTACAAGGTCAGTGTTTCAAATCTTGTAGTTGCACCAAGGGAAAAAGATGAGGCTTTCTGCTTCTTTAATTAGTCTCAGAAACCCTATACAGGGTCGCTATGAGTTAGGAACAACTCGGTGGCACCCAGCAGGTCCCCAGGTAGTGCAAACAACTTGTACTTGACTACTTTGTACTTGACTACTAACCTAAAGGAGTCCTGGTGTGGTGCTGTGGGTTAATGCCAGACTACAAAGCCGTTTGAACTGCAAGGTTGGTAGTTCAAGCTCACCAGCTGCTCCTTGGAAACCCTACACAGGGTCACTCGATAGCACTTAACAGCAACAACTAACCTAAAAATTGGTGGCTGAAATGTACCGTGTTAACACAAAAGGAAATGCCTGTTAAGCTGCTTCCCTAAAGATCTCTAACCAGGAAAATCCTATTTTACTCTGTAATACACAGGTGGTCAATATGAGTCAAAACTGACTTGAGGGCAACAGGTTTTGTTTGTTTGGGGGGTGGGGATGACCATACTTGCAAAGCTTCCATATTATTACCCTTACAATTTAAAAAAATTCTTTCCTCCTCAGCCATGTTCCCTTTTTCCAGCGCAACTGGCCTCTGATGTGTCAAATTATTCTTACCTCATCCCTTATAAAGCAAAATGCTCTTTGTTGGGGCACCAATGATGTCAACAAACTGAAGGGCAGTGGTCAAGGCCTTTACCTTTCAGGCATGGAAAGAGTGATGAGCTAGCTGCCTTTGGATTTTGTTATTGCAACAAAAAGAGAGATTAAGTCCTTAGCTTTTGATGTTTCCGTAGAATAGCATCTAAAGACATTAAGTGCAGTTCAGTAGGTTCCAACACTTTGCCATCCTACACAGGGTTTCCCAAGGAACGGCTAGTGGGTTTGAACTACCAACCTTGCAGTTAGCCGTCCAGTGCTTATTCTACAGCAACACACTGGTACTCCCTAAAATCATTAGGAGCTTACATGAATCATGTCAAAAGGTTTTCAAAAGTTTTGTGACATTAACATGCTCTTAATGTCTCTAAGGAGTCCTGGTGTGGCACTGTGGGTTAATACACTGGACTGCAAAGTCAGTTTGAACCGCAAGGTTGGCAGTTCAAGTTCACCAGTCTCTCCTCAGAAAACGTATACTGGGTCACTATGGGTGGGAACCGACTTGAAGGCACTTTGTAAACAACAATGTCTTTAAAATGTTGAGTACTGCTGTGGTGCTGTGGGTTAATGCGCTGGACTGCAAGGTGGGTTTGAATTGCAAGGTTGGCATTTCAAGCTTACCAGACACTCCTTGGAAAGCCCATATAGGGCCACTATGGGTCAAAGCTGACTCGATGGAACTTAATGTCTTTAATATGCTCCTTTAATATGGCACTATAGGGTAAGCACCGGACTGCTAACCAAAAGTTGGTGGTTCAAACCCACCAGTTGATCCTTGGAAATCCTATACAGGGTTGTTATGAGTCAATTCTGACTCATTGTTAAGTGCGGTTGCGTTAAGACATTAGGAGCATATTAATGTCAGAAAACTTGAAAACAAAACTCTTTGACATGATTTATGGGTGCTCAAAAGGAGACACTGAAAACATTTCATGTGTGTGTATAGATAGCACAAGCAGGAGGTTTCACTTAGTATGGTGGTGAATGATGCAAAGCTCACAAGGAACTGATGGAAGACAAGGTTGGGTAGACACTGCCACTCCTCTAGGTGTTAGGGAAGGCTTCATGGAAGAGCTAATGAGGATGGTTTATATCACTGAACCTGTGGCATGCAGCAGTGCATTATACTGTCCAGAGGTGTGCTTTTGAAGGCCATGTACTTGAAATTAAATCCTGGCTCCATCACTTATAAACTGAGTGACTCTGGGCAGGTTACTTACTTACTAAAACTCAAGTTTCCTAAACTATAAAAGGGGTCAAGAAAAAAGCCACTCCCTAGAAGGTTTTGTGGGTATGAGAAAATGATAGAACATTTTGTTTTGTAACTTGATGATGAGGGTTCAAGTATTCTCTCACAGATGATGATACGCAGCACACCTCCACAGTCCTTTGCAGTTCTGTATTAGACTGGCATTCCTGGCCTCAGAGTCTTTGTAAGATGATAGGGCTAGTCTATGGGAATGGTTCATAGATTTTAGAGATGTCACAGACTGGTGGGGGGAGTAACATGGTGGAATCAACTTTTATTTTGCCACTTACGGAGATTTAAAAATGAAAAATGCCATTTAATGTTTCCACATTTTCATTTTTATAATACTAAAATATCCTTTTTTAAAAGTTGGAAGAATATTAGGTCAGACTCAAAGATGGCACTTTTAAAAGCCCACTAAAATTTGTTCTTATTTCTCTATAGACTGGTAAAAACTTGGTCTTGAATCACAGTCCAGCATTGAAAATTCTATTACCCTTTTTAAAAAAGTGCTACATTGTTAATTAAATTTCATTTTGGTAATATTAAAAAGAACCACTCAGTTGACTTAAAACTAAGGCCTGGGAATCAAAACCTTTAGAAAAGCTATTTCCTGGTTAAGCAGAAAGTCGAAAGTAGTTATATTTTGTGGATCTAGAAAGCAGTAATGAGAATTCCTTTGAAGGCTTAGAGATATACTAAACAGGCTTGGAAAAGCAGGGAGGAAGTTCCGGATCCATCCTTAGTCCTAGGGAACAGGATAGACTGAGACTCAAGTTGGGTTCTGGTCTACACTTAGTAAGCCAAAACAGAAGGCACATTCTCATGACTGCGGACAGCCTCTGGACTGAATGGAGGCACCTTGGGATGTTATACTTTGCGTTGACTTTAAGGTTTCATTTTGACCTTCCTTCCAACAATACAAGGCAGTTGAAGTTTAGCTTGAGAATTAGATTGTGTGTTGCTGCAAGGGAACCTTCCCCTCCTTGGAGCAACAGTCTGGCATCTAGAAAGCTCTTTTTCTGGAATATTTCCAAATTTCTACTTGATCCTATACAGTACTACAATTTTAGTTCATTTGATGAAAAATGCTAGATTTGCCCACTCCCTTCCTAGAATGCACCATAAAAGAAAGGTAATGGAAGGCGAGGGGATAAAAAACAAACAAACAGAAAAGGAAAATAGAGGCAAACATATCATTTTTATGTTCATACTTAAATGCATGAAATCCTTATAATCCAAGAATTCTATAGCTGGAAAAGAAATACAAATTGAGAAAACTTGAGGCCTGTGAGCTGAGTAACTTGTTCAAAAACCTAAAGCAAGTTAAAGGTAGAGCTAACATTCTCCAGGTCTTCTGTACCCATCTAGTTTTTGAACTCCAAACTAATGGTTCTTAAGCATGGCTGTGCATTAAAATTATCTGGAATGTTTGAAAACCCCTATGCCTAGGCAATACTGTAGACTATTAAGTTAGAATCTGGGACAGGAGAATGTAGGTATCAGCATTTTTTTCCGGTTTCCAGTGTGAAGCCCAAGATTAAGAACCACTGTTCTAGACCACGGTGCCCCAAAAATGATCAAGGCTTGGGTCAGGAGGATTCTATGAGTATGTTTATTAGGATCAACTAGAAGAATCTCTTTGGCAATCATCATAAATTCTAATCCAAGTTCATCTTTGCTACCCATGACCACCATTACCATTACCCCTGGATTACAGAGTATTGTAGAATAGAACTATGGGCATTTTATTCTACTCAAAATTATTTTTCACAATAAGGAGTTTTTATCTTTCCTGAAATATTACAAATGACATATCCAAGTGCAGTTGTAAGGGCAATTGATTGTAGAACCAAGGAAATAGATCAGAAGCTGCTGCTTGGGAAACGGTGTCACACCAACAACTCCGTCCTGTTTTTCACAAGACTGCAGATGCACCTATCCCAGGCCACAAACAAACCCTCATCCGATCACCTAGGAGTGTTGGAGAGCTCAATTTTTCTGAGGACAGCACATTATCTAATACAAACCCCAGTAGGATGTTTACTCATAAAAACTGACTACAAAAACTTTAAAAAATGTTTATTTGTATTAATTGGGTGGAATGGTACAAGAAAGCAAAGAAACTTATGCATTTGGGTCCTTGTTTCTCTGCTATTCACATTAGTTTGGTAAAAGATGATTGAGTAACATTAAGTAGAATGGAGGAAAGATACAAATATATCCAGGGTAGCCATATCCTTTAATCCAATAAAGGATGAATTGAAATCACTGGCCTAATTCATATTTATGTGACAGCCCAAAGAAAAGGTATTCCCTTTAACTGCTCTGGGCCTGTGAAAAAAGGGAGTGGACAACATTTATGTTACAAGACAGCAATCTTTTACTGAAATATTTATGTGTCTGTGTGTACTGTGCATGGAGAAATTAATCTCTTGTTCATAAATTAGGATAAGCCAAACCAGTATTATTTACAAAAATGAACCTCTTCTTTGCTTTATCACCAGGTTCACAGGACTAAATTTTAAACCAGCCTCAGTCTAACTTTTAAACTCTTCCTCCCATCAAATGCCTAGTAACCCTTATAGGGTAGGGAACAGCCTTTTGGCAGAAATATTTATCATTCACCAGGAATATGGAATCACAGGTGAACTATGACAGCAAAAAGGTTAAATCATTCCAAACAATTCCTATCTGCTGTCCAAAAGCATGCTTTGTCTAATTTTCCCTTTCTATACAGTTAGGAGAGGGACCTGGACCCCATGGAGTAATGTTAATTAAATTAACCTCTTCAAAAAGTGAACAAAATGGCTTAGTGTATATAAGGATGAACTGCTCTAGAAGACCCCACCAGATAATGAAGTGAACTTTAAGCCCAACTTAGTAACATGTACCCCAAGCTCAAATAGATCCTTTTCATTTAATCCGGATCACATAGGCAATTTTTACTTTACAGTTCAATACAGTGCCAACATTTTTCAAAGCAGATAGAGAATAGACTTCTAAGAAATTCAAATCCAAATATTAAATAATAAAAATTGTTGACTTATTTATACAGTTTCTGACAGACTCCAATATGCAGGGCACCAAAATGTAATTCTATTTAGCTGCTAATAAAAAGGTAAATCGTGGTATGCACATAAAAGACAATATTACGAGACTGTAGTGTCACCTGTGAAAACAAGAGCATCTAGAATGGAATCTTCAGTATATACTTGGGACAAAGGGCAATAAAAATACAAGAGAAAGCAAAATCCATATATGTTACTTCCTAATTTGAGAAATCCATAAGATGTATACATAAATTGATAAATACTGTCTCCACAGGTCACTAATTCCAAGGACTAGTTAGTAGTTAGTTTCTAACTAAATTATTACAGGACAGTCCGGTGTCAGCTCGTTTCTTGTGATCAGTTTGTTCTGGCAAGACTCCAACAAGCCCTTGCCCTGGAAAGCAGCTGAGCGGAAGGAGGCTCTGGGGCACTCACGTCATTTATTAGCTACCCAGATAATAAATCCCACGACTAAAAGAACCACTGACAGCACAAGCACCAGGATACAGATCTTCTTGCGAGATTTTTTCTGGGGAAAGAAATATGTAAAGAAGGTACTCATGAAATCAAGGTTGTTCTGTGTTATGACTAAGACCCTAAGAAGGCTTCAGAAATCTGCCTCCTGGAAATGAAAAATTAATGCTATCTAGGCATGAATATGCAGACTGTCTCCAAGTTGCCAATGTTGATTAGTGCTGGCAGGAGTGCACATGTTAATTCCAGGTCCCTAAATAATTTGTCAAAGGGGCTGGTGATATGTATGCTGCTTAGGCATACATATCTGCAACAAAATAAGTTATTTATACATTTGCGCATGTGTTTTTTTCTGATCTTTTATCTATTCATATTGTTATGTGACATACTCGGGATCACACTGTATGAGCTTTCCTGGTTTTCACATGTAATGTTTTAGGATAAAAATTTTTATTAAAACTCTTCATAAATATCTATTTTAATGCCTACATAATAAATTACTGAGTAAGTGTATATGATTTATTTAATGATTCCTTTATTGTTGGATACTAAAGCTCTCACTTGATTTTTCAAGCCAACACTAACATTAAACACACTGTGTCTTTACTAGATAAAATACAGCTATGCTGGGAACATGAGAAATGAATGAGATGCTATTTAAAAAAAAAAAAAAAAAAAAGGCCATACAATACAAGTATTTTGAAATAAAGATTCAAATAAAAGTCATAAAATTGGAATTTCAACTAATATCTAGAATCTCACTTTAGAGAACCAGCTTTATGATTAACCAGAAGTGACTCAATGGCACTTAACAACACGTCACAGATGAGGAGCAAGGTGGCTAGTAACTGACAGGATGGCAGTTCACATCTTGGAAGAAAGGCCTAGAGATCTGCTTGCATTAAGAATAGAGCCAACAAAACTCTACAGAGCAGTTTACTCTGTAACACATGGGTCACCATGAATCAAAAATTACTCAACAGCAACAGGGTTTTGTGTTTCTTTTTTAATTCTAAGATAAATAACAGGATGATTCGACATCCATCCCATATGACAAGAGTCAACAAAAATTACCTATAAAGCCCTAAGGAGCTCTGGTCGTGTAGTGGTTACAAGTCAGCTGCTAATCTCAAGGTCAGCATTTCGAAACTACCAGTCATTCCACTGTAGAAAGATAAGGCTTTCTGTTCCCATAAAGATTTCCAGCCTCAGAAATCCTATACAGGGTCGCTATGAGTTGGAACTAACTCCACGGCACAAAATCACCATTCCCGCGCCCCCCCCCCCAGTATATTAGCTCAAACAATGTTCAGTAGACTAAACAATGTTCAGTCCAATTACCTGGACTGCTAACTGAAATGCTGGTGGTTCAAGTCCACCTGCTGCTCCCTGATACCCCTATACAAGGTCGCTATGAATCAGAACTGACACGATGGCACTTAACAACAACAACATGCAAGATTTAGGTGTCATGCTAGCTTATGGAGTCAGCTTTGTAGCTAGGAGGCTTCTATGTAAGATTACTCATGGTATGATGTCTTTTGTAGACTTCTCTGCAAAGAAAAATACTAAAAGTGGACCGAGGAGTACAGTTTTGACTGTTTGCCTCTGGCATATGCCTAAGCTAGATGCTTCCACTGTTCTCAATGCGTCATCCATAGAATCTGAAGCACAGAGTGCCTGGCATTGGTACCTGCTTTTACCTGATAGTAAGCAGCACGCTGTAACTGATCAGTGGCTCTTTCAACATGCACCTCTGAGCTTTCCACATTGGCTTCTATGCTATCTGCAAAAGGAAGAATAAGTGGGTGTTGTACCACATGTAAACATTTAAAAACTAAAAATTTAGCTGACTACTGATGTTGTATGTATGTATGGTTTCAATGTTATTATCCCAACTATCCAACAAGGAAATCAAAAGCTACTAGCCTTATAAGAGAATAGCTCTATACTTTGGAAATAAATACTGAAGCATTTCGAGGTAAAGGGCTACGAAGTATGCCACCCACTCCATAAATGGTTCAGAAATAATTACATATATATACATATGTCTATATAGAGACACAGAGACAGAGGGAGAGAGAGAGAGCGCAAACAAAAAAGCAAACAGGGTAGGATATTATTTAAAGGTGAATCTTGGTAAATGGTATAAAGGAGTTTTTTGTAACATTTTTATTTCTGAACTTTATGTAAACTTAAAACTATTTTCAAACATAAAATTTTTTTCCTTAAAGTTACTAATTCAAAAATTGTACAGATTTCTAGAACTGAAAGCTGGGAATTTGACAGCTATTTCCCTAAAGAGTTAAAAGATTTGTCAGAGGCTTTGGAAAGTGAACGGAGCTAAGCATTCAAGGAGGTCTTACCATAACATCTACATTTGACAACATAAAAATAATGCTTAAAAAGTATGTTAGCAAATTTAAAAAAATTTGTTTTAATGACATTCTTAAACTTTCTATGGCTGAGATGACTTATTTATTTGCACACAAACACTATCAACTCACCTGGAGGTTTAAGTTACCAATAATACATACCAATCAGATCACCTTGGTCATGGATCATCACAGCCAAATCTTTAAATATCTGGTTGACATCCAAAATGTCAGCCTAAAAAACACAAAAACCAATTACAGGATACGTAAGCACTGGACTGCCAACCACAACACAAGGTTGGTGGTGCAAACCCATCAGCCACTCCTCAGCAACCCTATCCAGAGTTGTTATGTTAAGTACTGTTGACTCAACATTACTTAACAACAACAACAATAAGCAACATGTTGAAGATTCATTTCCTTAATTTACCTAGAGTTCTGGCTATTAACATAATACACATGCTTTTCTACCACTCATCTGTTACTGCGGTAATTTTTGTGTTGCTGTGATGCTGGAAGCTATGCCACCAATATTTTAAATACCAGCCAGGTCACCTACAGAAAACAGGTTTCAGCAAAGCTTTCAGACAGTGACAGACTAGATGGGAGGAGTACCTGGCAATCTACTTCTTAAAAAATTGGTTAGTGAAAACCTTATGAATAGCAGTGGTGTGAAACTGATACAGTGTCTTATATAGTGCCTGGTGATGAGCCCCTTAGATTGAAAGGCACTCAAAATACCACTGAGGAAGAGCTGCCTCCTCAAAATAGAGTCCATTTTAACAATATGACAAGTAAAATTTTCAGGATCTTCATTTGCTGATGTGGCACAACTCAAAATGAGAAGAAACAGCTGCAAACTTCCATTAATAATAAGAACATGGAATGTATTAAGTATGTGTCTAGGATAACTGGAAGTCATAAAAAAATGAAACAGACTGTATAGAAACACATATCCTCGGCATTAGTGAGCTGATATGGACTGGTACTGGCCATTTTGAATTAGATAATCATATCATCTACTATGCCAGGAATGACAAATTCAAGAAGAGTGACATCATATAAAGAACATTTCAAGATCTATCCTGAAGTACAATGCAGTCAGTGATAGGCTACACCTACCAGGAAAACTAGTCAATACAATTATTATTCAAATGTGCACAGCAATCAATAATGCTAAAAAAATTTTAAATTGAAGATTTTTACCAACATTCCAGTCTGAAACTGATCAAACATGCAATCAAGATACAGATAATTACTGGCAATTGGAACGCAAAAGTCAGAAACAAAAGTCAGTAGTTGGAAAATACGGCCTACTGACAGAAATAATGCTTCAGATTACATGATAGAATTTTACAAGACCAATGACTTAACTCATTGCAAATATCTTTTTCAACAACATAAACAGTTAACTATACCACAATGGACCTTGTTGGATGGAATATATGGGAATCAAATAGACGATATCTGTGGAAAGAGAAGGTGGAGAAGTTCAATATCATCAAGCAAATCAAGGCCAGGGTTAGATTTGCAAAAAAAAAAAAAAAAAATCCATTGCTCACACTCAAGTTCATGTTGAAACCTAAGAAAATTGAAACCAGACCATGAAAGCCAAAGTGTGACCTTGAGTATATCCCACCTGAATTTAGAGACTATCTCAAAATAATTTTGATGCACTGAACAATAATAACCAAAGACCAGACAAGTTTCAGGATAGCATCAAAAACCTCATACACGAACAACCGAAAAGGTCATTAAAAGACAGAAAAAGAGAAAAGAACAAAATGGATGTCAGATGAGACTCTGAAACTTGCTCTTGAACATAAAGTAGCAAGAGTGAATAGAAGAAATGATGAAGTGAAAGATCTGAACAGAAGATTGCAAAGGGTGGCTAGAGAAGACAAAGTGATGTTATAAAGCAATATGCAAAGACCTGGAGTTAGAAAACCAAAAGGGAAGAATACACTTGGCATCTTTCAAACTGAAAGAACTGAAGAAAAAATTCAAGCCTTGAATTGCAGTACTGAAGATTATAAGGGCAAAATATTGAATGACAGAGGAAGCATCAACAGAAGATGGACGGAGTACACAAAGTCACTGTACCAAAAAGAATTGGTCGATCTTAAATTGCTACCTCCATTTAAGGAGGTAGCATATGATCAAGAACTGAAGATATATTAAGGGATTGAGTCACTGGACTTGAGGGCTTAGGACCATAATCTTGGGGAACATTTCGGTCAATTGGCATAACATAGTCCATATCCTATTATGATACGTAGAACTGGGGTCTTAAAAGCTTACAAGTGGACATCAAAGATACAACTATTGGTTTATTCCCATTCAGAGCAAAGAAGAGTGAATAAAATCAAAGAATCAAGGAAACACATGAACCAAAACTGTTGCAGACCGTGTAAGACTGGTCAGAGGTTCGAGGCCCTATAGGCCCGAGTGTAACAGATCTAGCCACCTGGCAGTCAGTAGCAAATTGTTTTTCATCTTAATATTCAGTTACATGTATTAATTTAATACATGGAGCCTTTGATAATCCACAGATAAATGTGATATTTTCCTAAAAGCCCAGACTGTAAAAATTGCAAGGTCAAGCCTTTCTCCAAAGGATTAACTAACTAAAAACATCTTAGCTACCTGACAGTCCCTTGTTCTACAGACAAAAAAGCCATCCACCCCGAATCTCTCCCAAGTGTTAGCTATTCAGCCAAGTTCCTGAAAACCTGGCTCAGGAAGCCGAAACAGCGGGACTCCGCCCAAGCTTTTGTCCTTACCTCTCACCTTCCCCCACCTGAGCTCAGGGGCTATAGATATGTTAATTGGGCCTGACAATCCAAGTTGCTGGCCTGGGATTCGAACCAGTGAAGTACAATGTAAAGTTACCTGAATGTCTGGAAAAGTACTGATGTTAGCTGTACCTTGCCTAAGTCCCTCCCAGCTTGGTGTGAAGCTCCTCCCCTAAATAAAAGGAAGGCGCAGAACGAATCCAGGTGCATTACAACTGGCAAGGTGTGCATTACAGCATGCAGGGGGCACAGTCCAGCCTTGCAACCATACTGCCTGTTTAGCTAAGATTTTTACTATGCAGGATATTATGGCCTTCGTGGCTGAGATGTTTGCAATGCAGGATCTGCCTGATGCCAGTACAGCATTCACTCTGGTTTCGGAGTGTCTCTTTGTCTCTCTCTTTGTCTCCTTCTGTGTATTCTTGATATATCTTTACCGCCGTCAGGTATCTCCTCCTCGTGAACCGAACCTCTATGTCGAGGCAGGTCCCCGAAACAAAACCTTCACTAGCAGGAGACCAGAGCTAAGAGCTAGATGGTGCCTGTCTACCACTCCCTTACCACTCTGATAGGAATCACAACAGAAGGTCCTGGACAGAGTGGGAGAAAAATGTACAACAAAATTCAAAATCATAAAAAAAGACCAGACTTATTGGTTTGATAGAGACTAGTGGAACCCCTAATATTATGGTCTTTTGTTGTTAAATGCTGTTGAGTCAGTTCTGACTCACAGCAATCCTATATAGGGTTTCTGAGGCTTTAAATCTTTGTGGGAGCAGCAGCTCATCTTTCTCTCACAGAGTGGCTGAAGAGTTCAAACTGCTGACCTTGTGGCTCACAGTCCAGTGATTATCATACGGAGGGAGCCCCACTATGGCCCTTAGACACCCTTCAAACCTAGAACTGAACCTGAAGATCATTTTTCAGACAAACAATACACAATGAACAATAAAATTCATGAGGAATGTGCTCCTCAGAACAATCAACTATATGAGACCAAAAGGGCAGCAGTTTCCCAAAAACAAAGATCACAAGGCAGGGAAGGGGTGAATGGAAACAGGGAAGCTGGAGAGGAAGTGGGGGAAGTGCTGTTACAATGAAGGGACTGCAACTAATGCCACAAAACAAAATGGGTATAAATTGTTGAATGGTAAAATAATTTGCTCAGTGAATTTACACCCAAATCACAATAAAATGCAAGAAAAGAAAAAATGATGATACTGAAAGAAGTAGTCAAAGAAGCACTGAAAGCAATGGAAAAAACAAGGCTCCAGTAATTGACAGGATACAAATTGAAATGTTACAACAAGCTGATGAAGTGCTGGAAGCACTCGCTATATTTATGTGAAGAAATCTGGAAGACAGTTACCTAGTCAAATGACTGAAAGAGATCTATATTTTTGTTCATTCCAAACAAAGGGGACTGCATAAATTATTGAACAATTATCATGAATATCACATGCATGTAAAATTTTGCTGAAGATAATCCAAAAATGGTTGCAACAGTACATCAACAGGGAGCTGCTAGAAATTCAAGCTGGATTCAGATGAGGACGTGGAACAAGGGATATCACTGTTGTCAGACTGATCTTGGCTGAAAGCAGAGAATACCAGAAAGATATCTATGTATGTTTTATTGACTGTGCAAAAAGGCATTTGAGAAAAATAATGATGAAGCTGCAAAACACCTCATAACATGGACGAACTTTGAGGGCATCAGGCACAAAAGGACAAATATTGCCTAAGACCATTACTGTAAAAGCTTAAGAAAAGATTTCCATACTAAAAGAATAATTCTTTGATGATTACCAGGGGCAGGAGGGAGAAGGCAGTAACTCGCAGGTGAGAGGATAGACACATGACAGCTCTGGTGATGGAGCGGGCCATAAAAAGGAGGGGGAGGGCAGTTCACAAGAAAGGGGAGAGGAGTAGATGAACTATGATGATAGGGGAAGACTTAGGAGGGATGCATGGGCTAAATGGGATAGAGGTAGATTGTTATGTATGTGTAGTCAAGGAACAGCAGGGCTCTATGATATAAGAATCAAGACATAGTCCGAATGGGTAAAGTATAGGGGAAATAATGGTAAAATGCTTGACTCTTCTGTGGATATTAGTTTCCCTGCCTACTACTGTAATACAGACATTTAAGTGGGAAAGAAAGAAAATTGGGAATTATGTAACAGAAAGCATGTAAGCCCATCTTCAGCCTATAACTGATTGGATTATCTAAAAGGGTACTGGAATAGGCTACTTGTTAAGCCTTAGTGGGGTGTGGGGCTTTAGGTGGAATCCTGAGCCCCACCCAGAAGCTTGGGAGGTGGGACATTCCCAATTGAAAAGACAGGCAAGACCAACGCAGAACAGCTAGAGAGAAAGAAGATACTTCTTGAAAGAAAGATGGGGGCGTGCAATGTTTGGCTGTTGATGTCAAACAGCA